TGGAATTTAGATGCACTCTTATTGATTGTGCTTGGCCGTACATGTTCATATCCTTGAAGATGTATCATGGGGGTGTTGCAACCTAAGCTTCCAGTTGTTCTTGCTGCCAGAGTTGTGGGCACAGTTTATTATTCAATATTTTTATCAGAGGATAATGAAGTGTATTAAATATGTAGGGGACAAACTTTAGAGATGGGTATGTCTGAAGCTAGTAGAATAAAAAAGTATCCCCAAATTGTTGTTAGGTGCTGTGGAGCTGAGTACGACTTATAGCAACTCTGTGCACAACAGATCTGAACCCTGTCCTATCCTGTGTCATCCTTACAATCTCTGATACATTCAAGTCACTGCTGCAGGCACTGTGTCAATCTATTTGGTTAGAGTTTTTCTCTCCTTTGTCATCCCTCCACCTCCCCAAACATGATGTCCCTTTCCAAGGAATTACCTCTCCTCGCAACATGTCCAAAGTATGTGAGATGAAGCTTTCTTATCTATGAAGAACTGCACAAGAAACAAAGTGAAATTCATGAGGGAAAAAGGCAAATCCTGTCCCTTGGGTTAAAAAATTGGCCTGTAGGTTGGCAATAAGTAAAATGAGGCAGATGCTGAATTGATCATTTGCTTAGGAGTGAAGTCCACTTATTGGATCAGGTTCTTGTTCAAGGGCAAAATCTCCATGATGACCTAAACTGTGTGTCCACTAGCCTTGAGGACAGTGCTAAGGACAATAAAAGAAATATGTTTTCATATCTGAGAAGCAGCTTCTTTTACAGAGTTTCAGAGAGAGCCTGTGGGTCTCCAAGTGACTCCCACTTGGCCAGGTTAAATCTGGTTAAGAACTCCTGGCCCCAACACTAAGTTCCAGCTCAAAGGAAGTGTCTGAGCAGAAACTGGAGAGTTCCATGGACACCACCATGGACTCCTAGACAAAGCAAGGGCTGCCCAGACAACCTTGGAAGCCATTTAACTTTTAACAAGAGTGGGCTGAGCTGGAAAAAATGCTGCACTCAGCACGCAGGCATGCCATCAGATATTCTGTTATTGTGGCTAAATAACTATGAGTACTTACTACATGCCCTTAACTAATGACCACAAGAATCCAAGCCATTGTTTGGTAAGCTACTTAAAGAGAATATAAGGTACAAAGGATCTGTTAAGCCATGCATTCAGTGTTTAGATGTTCCAACCGAACCGCTCAGCTGAAGTGCACGTGGTTAGAAGGCAGAATTCAGGTGCACACAGAACCTGTGCCTCACGTGGTCAATGAGCTGCTTCCTGCATAGGTTCGTTTCTCCAAGGACATGAGCCCAGAGCTCTGGATCCTTCCTGCGCACCAGGTAGCGAGCTTCACTTTTGAACAGAGAGTTCTCATTGCAAACCTGAAATGAAAATGGATAAGTATGTGTATAAGGAGCAGAAACCATAGAAGCCACCTGGGGAGACATACACTCAATTCCTCTCATTCTAGTATGTGTTTGGAGTTGAGCCAGTGCCTGTTAGTGCCCAAGAAGCATTCTAAAGAGTCAACATCTCATCTCCCACAGTTACAAATTACCTCCAGATGCCCATTTTTACAATCACCTACAGCTGAGCAACTGCTTATTTCCCTACTGCTTCAAGTAACTGCTGCACTAATATTAATAATCATGGGTGACTGGAACACAAAAGTTGGGAATGGGAAAGAAGGATCAGTAGCTGGAAAACATGGACTTGGTGACAGAAATGAGGCTGGAGATAGAATTCTGCACATCCAATGATTTATTCATTGCAAATAGGTTTTATAAGAAACACAAATGCAGGCTATACACAGGGATTTCACCTGATGGTATGTATAGGAAACAAATAGATTACATTTGTGGAAAGACTTGCTGGAGAAGCTGTGAAAACCAGGCCGGGTGCTGACTGTGAAATAGACCACCAACTGCTCATAGGCAAGTTCAAGCTGAAGTTGAAGAAAATAAAATCAAATCCACAAGAACCAATATTTGACCTTAAGTCTATCCCACTCAAGTTTCAAAAACATCTCAGGAACAGGTCTGAGGCCTTGAACACCAAAGAGCGTAGACCAAATGAGCTGTGGGAAGATACATCATTCATGAAGAATACAAAAGATCATTACAAAGCCTAAAGAGGAAGTAAAGACCAGGATGGATGTCAGATGAGACTCTGAATATTGTATTAGAGGCTCATTGCCCACTGCTGTGGTGTGGACAGCTGAAACAGGCCCCGACAGGCACCCAGGAACCCAGACTCTACTTCATGCTCTGCTGGAGAAGGCGGGGCAGTCTCCTGTACCAGTCAGATCCAATTTGATGGTACACACACACACACACACACACTTCTTCTTTTTTTAAAAAAGACTACTTCAGCAGTCGCGGCCCTCAGCCCCCGGGTTGGGGCGAGCCGTCGCGGCCCTCTGCCC